ATAATTGAATAAATAGAGTTGTTTAAACATTTGTTTAACAACAACTAAAAGCTTGGAATGGTCTATTATTTCATTGGGAGTGTGTCTGTGAGCCAGACTAGTTTCAGAGAATTCCACTCCTCGTCAATGATCCTGGACACAACCACCAATGAAATATCAGACCAATCCAAGCCTTTATAGTAGTGAGGTATCGAAAATCGAACTGGTGTATTCAAGTGTTTTACACTCACAAAAAAAGAAACCTATCATTCTATAGGTATTTGAAGAACTTGTAGCATTTCACCACAATTGAATTCTTTGTATTGTTAGCTAACACTGGGCAGCTTGTACATGATTGAATAAACAAAGTTGTTTAAGTATGAAAGAAAAGTATATACAAGTTCCTCTAAGTGGGTGTAACTCCCGATTAGAAAGTTTGAAATATTTTGATCCATTGTAGCACATTTCATTATAATAAAGTTTATTACATTTATCACACTAAAAGCATTACCATCATTCCACTTTCAGCTTACTGGTCAGCATTTCCAACTGAAAAAAACAAGTATCTTTGGAAAATTTAACCAGATTTCTTAGTAGTAAATTGTAATTTCAAATGGAAAAATTTGCTGCTGCTAATTTTGGACCTGGAGTTATTATCATTGCTGTCAAAAATTACTGAATAACACATTTAAAAACAAGTTATCTACTTAAACTTCCTTCATACAAACATTAGTAGTCAATAAAGTAGAGTTACAGCGTAGGACATGACAAAAACGTTACAATATACTAACTTACTCTGGTGAAAATATGCAAATTAGGGCCCTCCTTAACTAAGCTTGCTTTGATGTGGTTTCCATCTATACTGTACTTCAGCTGAAAGAAGCCATCACTGGATTTTTCAAGATGGCCATGAACAAGATAATCTTTATCTCCAACCTGCACTGAGTAGCCTCCATCACAATTGTATGTCACGTTGATATCGTACACTGTTAATACAAATATACTCAATTTTAAGGATCTGAAAAATAAAAACTCTGCCAAAATCTGATTATTATTACTACTCAAATGAGTAATTTACTAATCAAATTTATCATTTGACTAATCACTGCACTTGGAAATACTTATATCTCTCAAAGTATGAAAATATAAAGAAAGTTACATTTATGTAGCACTCACACATTAACATATTTTTAATATCTTAAGAGGCCAAGTTAAAAATATATATATTTCAAGGGAAATACAAATACAAACTAATTCAAATATACCAACTGAAACTTACCTGTTTCCTTGTGCTGCAAGTTAATTTCTCTGACAAACTGGGCATTAATTCTTAATCCATCCATAATTCCAAAGGGGGAGAATGGATCTGTGAAGTAAAAACTACTATCATTCTTAGTTTCGATCCTTACAAAATAATTTAAAGTTGTAAAGTTTATATATATAATAAGTTAAAATATTTAATAATTAATTCCATTAAAGATACTATAATTGTACGGAAAATATGCCCTATAATTTCTACCTTCAAATATCATCAAGTAGAATATTAAGTTTATAAAACTTATATGACTATTCCATTGTATGTTATACAATGTATTTATTAAACAAAACTAACGAAACAACAGAAGTATACAAAATGTATAGAAAGATAGATTATAGATGCATTCATGCAAGTTAACACCCGTTCCAACTGTTTTATTTACATGAAAGAAACAGTGGATTATTTACTTTATTTAAATACTTTTTAATGTGTGTTTGTTTGTTACGAATTTCGCGCAAAGCTACACGAGGGCTATCTGTGCTAGCCGTCCCTAGTTTAGCAATGTAAGACTAGAGGGAAGGCAGCTAGTCATCAACACCCACCACCTACTTATTTACCAACGAATAGTGGGATTGATCATCACATTATAATCCCCCCACAGCTGAAAGGGCGAGCATGTTTGGTGGGACGGGGATTCGAACCCACGACCCGCAGATTGCGAGTCAAACACCCTAACCACCTGGCCATGCCGGGCAATACTTTTTAATTATTAAATATGCATATACATTCTAGTTATTTTTATTTTCTTCAATGATAATAACAACAGGGAGTAGATAATTGTATTCATGTTTTGTGGTACGTTTATTCAAAACTGATGCCCTGTGATAGTTCTCTTGATATAATTATTTATGTTTATAACTTTTACAATCTATTAACTTAATAAACTGACAGAATTATACAAGAATTATGAAAAAGGTCAGAGAAAGGTAGATTATACATATATTCCTTATCTTATATGTAAGTATTAGCTAACAAGTTTTTAAGTGGAGAAAGTATAAATATCTTTCAAAAATATTAGAAAATAATCATTGGAAAAACAAAATATATTTGATATAAGCTTATACAAACAAACCACCAGGCAAATGACACTCGCCAAAAATGGCGAGTATTTGGCGATTCTCTGCTCCCAGTAACAAAAAGTCCTAAACTTTGTTTGGTGACTATTTTCTAACTTTTAAAATACCTCCGTTTGGTTTTGGAATTTAATTAATAGGATATAAACATTAAACACATTTAACCCACATTCCTAATATAAATATTGTACATTACTGGGTGGTAATTAACCCGATTATTACAGAGTTAAGGATTACAAAATCACATCCTGTATGATCAAAAAAGATATTTGACACCAAGTATAAAGCTGTATGTGTGAGTGTAATTAAACCAATAACACTGTCAGTCTGATTTATTTCTGTTTTCTCCTTACATCTTTTAGTTGATTCTTTAAATTGGATTATAATGAACAATCTGTATTATTTTATTATAGTATTGGCAAGACATTCTTACCACTTTTTAGACATTTATTTAACTTTAAAGCATGTATAAGCTCACACATATGTATCATTTGGAAAAAAAATATTTATTTTCATGTACTGAGTTTATCTTGTATATCTTAAGTTTCCACAGTTTTACCTAGGGATTGTAAAGTTGTACTGTAACCTTCTATTCGTTCCTGCAGAATGAATCCAAGTGCCGCTGCACACAGTAAGGTATTAGAGAGTGGCCTTTGGGGAAACAACTCCTTTCTGTACATAGGAATAAAGTCTGTGTGAACATTCCCATTCAAAAACTCACGATGAGAAGCCAAATCCATCAGAAAAGTAATGTTTGTATTCAAGCCTACAATCTGTTATGGAACAACAATATACATTGTGTATTTGTGTGGAAACACATACGTACATATATATCCATGTCAATATAATTTATAACTGAATAAAAAAATCAGCTTGGAGCTCAAGATAAATTAGTCGAAATAATAAGAGAAAACTAGAATTTCATAGCTTACCACTAATGCGATGTTCATGTGTTAAAGCAATTTTAAACAAAGTGGTAGCCATAACACATGGCAATATGCAAAAAACTGGGTTTTTCTTTGGCCTTTTCATGTTCAAGTTCAATGTTACACAATAAAACATTACCACAATTCAGTATATGTCATTATTCATACAACTTGTGTATATTAATTTCAACTTGGGTCACCTATTTCTCAGAGTGTTGGATAATATAATGCACCATGAAAGAACTCTATGAACCTACTGACTAGGTAAAATAAATTTGGTACAATTTTACGACAACTTAACATAAGTTTTTTTATGTTTTAATGTAAAAGCTGTAAAATTATAATAACATTTTTAAAAAGAAATATTTTGAATATTAACAGTTACTTTCTTTTCATCTTGCTATTTGTAAAATAACTTTGATTCTCAAATAAATTACAAAAACCAATATCATGCACACAAAAGAAATCTTTGTTTCTCAGTGAAATGTCAGGCTTGCTAAAACTTTGCTTCTATGTAGTCAGTAATGTTAAACTTTCCATTTGTTTTAAATATGTCACTTTGAGATTCTGTTTAAATCATTTCTAAACAAACTAAACAGGCAGACAAAGTCCGTTAAAAGCTTTCAAGATACATGTCAGTCTCTTATAAAGCATATAAACAAACACGTCCAATGCTACAGACTTGGTAAAAATAACAAAGCAACCTGACTAGTAAACGGAATCACTGCAAATGTATTTTCTTATATCAAAACTATATCATTTTAATATTGGATGTACCTGTTTATATAGCTGAATCTTATTTTAAAATGCTACAACTGAATCTTTCAGTTGATAAATGTTTTATATATTTTTAAAATTTTTCAAACCATCGAAATCATTGGTTGGATGTCGACATGTTTATGTTGTTGAGTAAAACATTTTATTGTCATTATCCACACATTTTTATTCTTATTCTACTGCAAGTTTATTTCTCGAAATATCAGCATGCAGCCTCTGCATTTCCAACAAGTTCACTTAGCTTACAGCAAAGGACTAATTGAAAGCTGGTACTGTGAAGGCTACAAACAATAATACATTTAAGGCAAAAAGACATTTGTGTTTAAAATTTTTAAAATTATGATAAATAATTAAAAGCAATGTTTTATATTTACACAATAAAAACTTTATTGAAGCCACATGGCTTCCACTTTAAAATAGAAATATCACTCCACATGTACATGTTTCAACGTGAACTACGTGATCCTCAGGAGTAACTTACAAGACTATTTTATACTTTCCCCTTTTCGCATTACTTCATTGTTATTTGCATATTTCCATAGCGTAATTGAAAAAAAAAAAGAAGAATTATAATATATTTTGTCATATTTTTTTATTGTGTAAATATAAAATGTTGTTTTTAATTATTTGTTATAATTTAAAAAAGACAGTAATAGTTTAAAAATAATTAAGGCCAACACTTACATTATACTCAGAGAGACACTGATGAAGTTTTCTTAAGGCAAGGTGACGATTAGGCCCCCAAACCACTAGCTTTGCAATCATAGGGTCATAATGAACTGACACTTCATCTCCTGTTAGTTTAAAGAATTATTATAAGAATAAAAGAAACAGCTTAGCAATTTATTGAAAAATAATCCTTTTCTAAAAGCAGGACAATGTTTAAAACCTAAACTTAATTTCATAACTAAACAAACCTTACCCAATAATGGAGACTCCAGATGCAGT